TGTAACCTGCTTACACCTCGGCTGGAGTCTCACCATTCAAGATGCACACAGCAATGAAATGGGAGTCCCTTCTGACATTTCGTTTCCTCGTTAGAAACCGGCAGTGGATAACGCGCTTCATTACGTCTTGCGCCTAAGGCGAAACCTCAGGAAAGTGTTTGATGCCACGCGCAAACAGCTGAAGAAAGCCTACGCTAGACAGGAGGTTCTACGATAGACAGAGCCGAACATTTGTATAGACCAATTCCCCCGCCAGGAACCCATCGGAAATTCTACCAATCACCCAAGCATTATCACATTCGGAATGCGGAGATCGCTACTCGGCCTCTGAGAGTACATCATAACAAGATTAGGCCATGTACGGGTCCTCCCCCAGTAGGTAATGAAGAGAAAATCAATATGTTGGCAGAGAAGGGCGAGCCGCCGACGTAACTCCACTGCTCAGCATCGGGAACGGTGCTTAAATGAGAGGGGGTCTGTGTGATATACACTGTGTTTGAGTGGACTTTTATAGGAGAGAGGCGGGAACCAGTTGGGAACGCGAATCACGCGCGCGAAGACTGTGAAGAGTCTCTCTCCAGTTGATATCTTTTATTCGGCCCATTTGCATCCTAATCCCCATTCTTCCTGTAAAAATGCCAAATAACTAGTCTGCAACTAACCCTCTCTTGAAGTCCGAGGTTCAAGGGGAGGAGGGTAGGCAGACAGCTCTTTCAGGTTACTTGTGAAAACATGCAGAATGTCCAAGATCAGTCCTTTGTTTTACGCTTAAATATAATTCTTCATATAAGTGTACGAATTCCAAAATCTAAACAGTTGATAATCATATAACTTTTCCTATATTTTATTGCTGCCAAAAGTTGTATTGTTGCTATGTCACTTAATGCTATGGCCTAATATAATTTTGGAACAAACTTGCGTCTTTCTGCAAACTGTAACCAATCAGCGTGCAGAACATTTGACCTTTCATTTAGAAATGGTACTGTATGCGGTTCTGTGAGAATTCTGCAGGTTGTGTCTGTTATGCTAATTTACTTTTCATTTCCTCCAAAGTTGACTTCACCGTTTTGAAGCTGCGTACGGTAGCACATACAGATCTTAGTGCGGCGTTTGGATGTAGCTCCCACTTGTTTTAAATGTCTTTTTTCCAATCAATTCCGTAAACTTCTACATGTATAGATGTCCATGTTGCTCTTCTGTAGACCTATGTCGCTTTCGCAAATTGTGCATCTGTTTTGATGAATCTGCGGTGGCTTCATTTTGATTTGATTTTTTCTTTCCTTCAAATGGATGGTTTTATCATTGCATTACACCTAGACGTGATTTTATTCGACTACTTGTATTGAAAATCCTAGGTGACGCCTAAGATGTTCTGATTCTACCTTCTGTTAGTGATTTTTTTTTGTTCGCAAGTTAGTCTATTGCTTAACTGATTTTCACAACGCTTTCGTCCCAATTAATCCCATCTTTCATGTCATTAGGAAGGTATTTGTAAATACATACATGTTTTCAGGATTTCGAAGAATCTCATCATGACCACAAATCGGAAAAGTCAGGAATCTTCGACTAAAACCCTTCGCGACCTAGCATCAATCCAGGAAAATAGATTTTGTTTTGACTGTGGTCAGAGAGGTCCAACTTATATTAATATGTCTATCGGTTCTTTTGTGTGTACAAGATGTGGCGGTGCTTTGTAGGTAGTATCTTCTATCTGGCACTTTTTAGACGGAAGTATAATCAAAGAGTGAAGTCGATGTCGGTTTCTAACTTTAGCCCTCAAGAAATAAGTTTTATCAAGCACAGGGGTAATAAAGTAAGGTTGATTATTCCTTCAATTTGCATTAGGCATGTGGGAAGATCTACTTAGCTCTTTGCAATGGCAAAGAACCGGATGAACGAAATAGCAACTTTGATGACTATCTGCGTCTCAAATACCAGGTACAAAAGTGGTGAGTTGCCTTTAAATGTTGCATGATATTTCTTTACTTTGCTCTTCCAATTTCATTCTCTTGTTAATATTGTCCTTCTAAGGTATCGCGTTCCAGATCCTGCCGTAGAAGAGGAGGCTTTTCGGGAAAATGAAGAAGCCCTTTCTCGAGCCTCTCAAAACTCCTCCGCAAAAGCGAGTCACATTAGCGCCAATGCAGCGGCGGGTTTAATAATATTAAGTAATCGTTCTCTCCCAACTTCACTCTCTAAACCATCTACTTCAAATCAGACACCATCTGAGACCGCTTCAGACAAGGCAGGCAGTTCAAGTCCCTGTCCTGTAGTCGCTCCAAGCATAACAGCACAACAGCAGCAAAAGGCTTCTCTCTTTTCTGTGAGTTCACGAGTTGTTTTTGTGGTGTACAAGGTGGTTGTTGTGCTTCTTTTGAGCTTCAGTTGTAGCAAGCTCTTTTCGTGTCGACGCTTGATGCAAGTTAATTCTTGCATCGGAGTGAGTTTATTTGCAGTAATTAATATTGTTAAAAACCATTGATTTGTCGGATTGATAGTCGAGTTTCACTTATTTAATCGCTTTTACCTAACTTTTTCTATGACTGTAGTCACTTCTATCCCTTGAACGTTGGTAAATTTGCATATGCTTTACATCGTTACCCATCACGATGTGCCGGAAGTCGGCGATGCCATATTTGCATATTCTATTACTCCATTTCTATGTGGTCGCCTAATACACCTCTCGCTCTCGTGCTCGCTTCCTTCAGGGTTGTTTTCGTTCTCTCTGTTTATTCACTGGTATGAGGGTCTAGGTAGGGTGAATGGGTGTTTCACCTTACTCGTTCTGAAGTGAACTGTCTTTGTTTACTCACCATTGATTATAAATCACCAGCTGAAGATGTTGCTGTTTCATTCTTTCCTTTCTTTGCTCACCTTCCTCCAGACAACGGCAGAAAAAGATAGCGCTTTCTCCGATCCGTTCGCCGAATTTGTTGCCGCCCGTCCAGTTGCTGCCGCTTCCCAGACATCAAATCAGTCATCCCTCCCTGCATCACTTGCTTACACCTCGCCTACATCCTCATCTTTGCAGAGCATCCAACCAGCACAGCCTTCCTCCTCTTCGGTTGCATATAAACTCCCGACATTTCCACCGTCATCGTCAGTCTCGATGGTATTTCCTGCTACCAATCCATCCGTATCATCGTCACCATTCGGAGTTTCGGGTTTTGGCACCTCTTCCGCGCCGGTTGACAAATATGCGGCCTTAGCTGAACTTGACAGAATGGGGAAATTGGGGGAGTGTGCTCAAGCCTCTAGATCGCCTGTTGCTGGAAGCTTCTCGTCTGTAACATTGGCGCCCTTGAAAACTCAACAAAGCAATCCATTTGCTCCTTCCTTAACCTACAATCCGTTCCAAGCTCAGACTCTTAGTACCCGAAATCCGTTTGCGATGATGAATGAGACTGGTACTCCTGTGATGCAGTCAAACACACTGCCAGTGCCAAAACCCACCAACATTTCCACTTCTCTAGGTCAAAGCTCATTCAACCCTTTCGTTGTAAGTCGCCCCAGCATTCGTCGGTGAATACAGTGCATCGTTTGCAGTATCTGATGAGTTGGCACGTGAATTATTGTGTCAATAAGCCGTCATGAAGGCGAAGATTTTGTTTTTCGTTTTGCCTCTTTCATTACGACTGATAGCAAGGGTAACTTTTCGCACTTGTAGATGAACTAACCAGGTCATTCTCCAACAGAACATTAACCGACTTCACTTCTACGCAATCGTTCTGCACAACCACGTTCCTTCCCTCGGCCTCTCGTCTGCATTTTTTTTCGCACACCTATCTTCGTGTCAGTACACAATATTGCTGTCTCACAACCGTTTGATTTAGAATCGACTCTTAACTTTGTTGCTCTTCTACTCAGTTCTTTTTTCTTCTGCATTCATTGAGAGCAATGATTTCAATTTAATGCGTGTAATGCTGTAATCATTCTGTTTACATTGTCCATTCTCATTCACTTTCTTTCTCTCCTGCCACCTAATGTTGTGTCTCATTCCCTCAATTCATTTGCAATTTTGTGGATTGTATATTATGCGACTGGTAATGGATTCCTTCCATTGACACCACTTGCTCTACATTGATTTCTGTGACTAGGCTATCTTGAAACATTACGGTCGTATACTACTGATATCCAATTAAGTAGAGCGGTTACATGAGCCTTCTTGATTGAAGCGTGCGGATTTCACCTCTGCATAGTTCCTAGTATGTAGAGCTTCGTGTTGACCCGACAAAACAAACACAAGGCAAAGCAGGTGTGATGAAACCACGTTCTTAGCGCTATTGCTAGGTGAGAGCATTGGTGGATCGATTCTTGCTCCTCTGCCATTCGCGTCGCCAAGACGGGTGTCACATTGGCGGTGCTGAAATTGCGCAAAATCTTCTACTCACAAAATTCAGTAGATTGATTATATGGTGCGGTAAAATAGTTGGGGTTTTTAATGATATATCGATAAACCAGGTCGAAATGTAAAGAGACTAGCAAAAGCGAATTATTTGTGGAGTGGTCTAACTTCAGCGCATTTCAAGATAGCTCCTCGTATAATTCTCAATGGGCATTTAAGTAAACCTACTCACCTCTGATTCCTTCCAATTTTTTAGGTTAAAAAGAAATCAAGTACTTGAGGTCGACACATTTGTTTGTACAAACACATGCTTAAAAAGACGACACTCATGCATGCTTTGGAAACTGCAAAAAAAGGTCTGTGAGAAACCAGAATTCCTTCCGAAAGGCAAGCAGTATGTTTGCACGATTTACACTTTATTTATCAGCAATTTTACAAACAGCGAAGAAAAAAATTATGAATGTGTTATTGTTGAGAAAAAATGTATTGCCAAATGCAAGATTGTTTAGGTGATATAAAAGTGATTTGAAATCTGAGTTGGGTTCTTACTGCCGTGCCACTCTCTAGATGACAAATTCCAATAGTAGGCACAGGATTACAGTCAAATAGGGGGTGGTGGGTGGGGAGAGGAATGGAGGGCAATGTGTTGGAGACGGATGGGGGTGTAAGGGGAGTGGGGCTCGGGAGTGGAGTGAAGGGTGTCGGGGCAGTGGGGAGGGGTGGTGGAAGGGTATGGGAGACCGAAACGGTGAGTTGAAAGTGAACATTAAAAGTGTTTAAAGTGTGCATCCAAGTACATGAAAATATCGTAAAGGTAGGGTTGGTGTGCAAGTTTGAAGGCGCTGTATAGTAGCAATCACGTTGTCTTCCCAATTTTGTGTGGATTTACTTGGGGCATAATCTATTCCGAGTGTGCAGATCGACAAGGCAAATGAGAGTGAAGACTTTGTGAGGAGGTAGAAACCTACCACCCTCGTCTCTCTGTGTTCCAAATTGTCAATTTAGATGGGGCT